TAACACCAGGTTTACATAGATTTTATAAATGAGAGAAAGGTCTAGCTTTAGTTAACATGACAATGCACACAAGAAACCATCTTACAAAGAACGCAGAGCTCATCATCTTCATACCTAGATTAATAAATTCATATAACTAATTCAGCCTTTTAAAAACAAACCAGGACATCTTGATTCAAATCGAAACAAATGCCAGAATCTCATGCACAGACATGTCTCTTCAGTAGTGCATTAGAATTAAAACGGGCTCCTTCTGCTCACACTGCAGTACATACACCTCTCACCTCAGTATACCATGTACACCGTGGCGTGAAAGAGACACCAAATTTTACAGTGCCTGCATACAAGTTATCAAGGCAAACCAGCAAAGTTAAAGTGAAAACTGCCTGCAGAGGCACTCAGATACTGACAGCTTTTCTGGTTAAGAATGTTAAAATTACTCCCCCTTAATTATCTGTACAAAACCCAGGAGCACTGCAAAAGCAAAATAAGCACAATAATTTTCGCCTTCTGGTATAGCAATGAAATACAGATAAAATGAACCAAAATGTGGAAATAGAAATATTTGTTCAGAATCTACAGCTTTTAAAGCAAAGTGCAAATAAAACAGCTTTTCAAATCTGTCAGGCTACAAAGTGTTGTATTAAGCACAGGCAGTTTCCTCTGCAAAACTCACTGGAGTGATCACACACCCAGAGAACAGACAAAACTTGCCATTTGCGAACACTACATCAAATCTGGAGCACACTGTGAAGCTACCCAGCTTGGTGAAGAAGCACCCACGGGGCTTAGCCTAACTGTACCAGCACCAACTCTATCACCACTGTTGTATCTTTCCCTACATGCCACTGCATTCAGTCAGCATACACCCTGAGCTTACCTTTACTCACAGGTGTTAGGATGTTTGTTTCTTAACAAAGATTGCTCTTAAAAACACCACCGATAAAATGTTGTCTCTAACCACTAGGTGTCAGCAGAAGAAAGTGCACAGCCAACGTCTTTGATGCAGGAAACTTGAGTCTCATTTCCCCTGTTACCAGTATATACACAACTATTAAGTGCTACAAACCACCTTTACAAACACAGTAATTAAACAGTTATTTCTGTTGAAGATTACCTACTTAAATATTTAGAAGATAAAAACATTCCTTCTGCAAACAGCAAAAAATCAAATTAAGGAAAAAGTGATTCAAGTGAACAAAATGCTCACACTAGTGTCACTGTCAGAAACTTAGGTAATATTCATGAAGATAACAGTCTGCCTCAGTACAGCCAAGTAAATACACTGCTTCTAAACATGTTTTACCGTACTTACTAACAAGAGGACAGTGGAGACTATAAGTACATCACATGCAACAGATACTCTTCCACACTTAAAATCTGGCTTTAACACAACTACAGAAAACAAATATACAGTAGGAAACATAACTGAACCTCATTACCTAAATCTTATGATTAGACTTGCAAACTGCAGTAGCTGGATACGTCTTTACAGGCAAAAGTTCTAGTTACTGAAAGCCTCAAAGTTTATGGCAACACTAACTCATGCACTGTTGGTTTACTGGTTCATACATACATAAAATATATTTGTATCTTTAAAATAAAAGCTTATGAACAGAGTAGGAGCTCTTATTATGCTGAAGTATAATGTGAATTTAAAGTCTGCTCTGTGACACATTCTGAGCCTACAGAGAATAATGAAAAATAGTTTCACACCACTTATCCCAAAAAGTCAACTTGTACTAGATGAGATGGACTATGAAATTAAATTGTCTTATTGAGACAAAAAGTATGAAAGGAGGAAAAGCTGCTGCTGCTTTTAATTTATTTCCTAATTATAAATGATTTTAAATGAACAGTCAGATTTTTCAAATTATGGGACATCAAATGCAAAGAACCACATTCATGTCTGGTGTTGCTTATGCCTCTTTTTACACGTGAGGGTGGCAAGAGAAAAATCACAATGGAGGCATTTGAAAATATGTACTGTTCTTAGAACATATTTTCTTTTTGTGTTTCTATTTGTCTCGGACACACTGAAATGAATTTACTTGCAACCGTTACACCAGTAACAGTTTCAAACTATTTTCTCCAAGACATTAAAATTTTAAAGCAAATTATGACAGCCATTGTGGGCTGTGGATTGTGATACATCAGTGGAGAACAATCAAAGAGCTGCTGCATACATTTTAATATCCTTCCACTATTCAACAAGAACTCCCATCACTCCGTATCTATACATGAAGATGTGTATCATGACCACTCTGAGTACCTGTTAGTGTGTGATCCACAAACCCAGCAAACTGAGCTCATCAGCTGACAGGAAATAACAGTGAACAGAATTGCTGTATAGAAGATGGAATTGCACGAGAGTACACAAGACTATTTCAAGTGCAGCATTTGAAGTGCAGCACAAGAGAGAAACACAGGGATTTAAATTACAAGGTGCCTTTACTAATTGCCAGTTACAATACTCTGTTATTAAATTAAAATCCCATTTTCTTTTCTGAAGCTAGCAATACATTTCCTAATTGTTTTACTCATTACACACTATTGTTTGGAGTTTTGCTGCATCTTCTTAAGAGCAGGTTTTCCAAGGGTACTGAACTAGTTTTTAAGTGTGATGTTCCTAGCACTAACACCAGTCCCTTGGCAACAGCATTTATTGTTGGTATATTCCAAACTGGAAGTGAGGTATAAAGTAGTTGTATGACCTGTCCAATACCTCACAGGATGTCTGTGGTAAAACTGGAAACAGAATGCTAGTCATTTCACTCTGACACGTTTAGCACATGAAACACTTGCAAATTTTCTTTATCTAAATCTTAATATAGAAATGTATAATCAGAAATTGAATTAATTTAATGTATAGAAGGACTTGGCAAAGAAAGCCCTGAAAATTTCCGCTTCCTATTAAAATTGGATTTAATGACATATTTGTGCAATTACGTTTACAAGTCTTCTTGATGGAATGATAAGCAAAACAATTTCTTTTGCTTCCTCAGGATTGCTGTCCCTCAAAGTTGCACTTTCCAGGGGTGTGCCATTGTCAACTGATTTTGAATGTTCATCTTTAACATTCAGCCTTCAAAATACCAGATGGTATTTCCAGAAAAGCAACTTAAATTTTTATTTTTCTTCACAAATCCCTTAACTAGTTAATCTCACACACACATTCAGGCAAAGCATACACCAATATTCCCAGAGTTGCCTGGCAACTAGTGGGAGGAGCATGGGAGAACAAGGAAGCCTGCATGGATGAAGGGAAGTCAGTATCTCCCCAGCACAGATAAAGGAGGCTTACAGCCAGAGTGCCTTGCTAGTTTAATTTTTGTTATTTATATGTACAACATTTTAAACACCTCCCATTATTATACCTTAGATGCTTTAAAAACCCAATACTTAGACGCAGACAATCACAGACAAGTCAAAACAATTTATTTTTAATACAGACACAACACATGGATTCCCCCAGTAAGCTATGGAAGGACTCATGCTGACTTCAAAAGTCATTTCTGAACCCTGAATATGAATTGCTGGAATGATGCTTATTTGATGGTGATAACTAGACTGCTTAAAATTCAGAGTAAGCTATTTTTTCCTTCTGGTTGTAAAAATAACAACACAAACTATAGTATTGAAGAGACTTTAGTTACTGAAACATCCTCAACCTTAAGAAGAAACACTATGATTGTAGTCCAACTGTTTTTTTCCCCTTTAACACCATGATTAAAATTAGATATATTATTTGTCTGCTAGCAGATTTCTTCATTAATCTTCACAGAGCAGGAGAATGCAAAATACAACACCTCAACTAGTAAGCCTTCATTTTCACTCCACTCATTTAGCCTCCCCCCTTACACTCAGAACTCAGCTTCTCCCAGGGGTATTCAAACTCTCCATTGCTACCAGCAATGTTCCATTCTGCCTCCCAATGCTTGCAGATGAAAGAATGTATTAAGACAAAAGTATGTTTTGTCCTTGACAGAGATCTTCTCGTTAAGCAGCCACAGGTCTTAAACAACAGTACTCCAAATCAGCATTTGTGGTGCACACATTTTAGTTCACCTGCTTCTGGAATAGGGATACTAGGATGTTTTGGAAATATTTTGTGGATTGCTCTGTAATTAGTACTTTTCATCCGTCATATATCTGGGACATATCTCATGACTTACACCTGAATATTCATCATACTATTGACCCAGTCTCTGACTATCAGCAAAAGATACACACTTTAAAAGGAACCCACAAAGTACACAACAGTAAAAGCAGAGTGTCATAAAACATGTGGAAATACATCAAATTTGTCTGCACTGATTCGTATCAAAGTCCATGAAGCTACTTGCAGTAAGCCAGGAACAGATGCCTCACTAGAAGCAATAAAACATATGATGAAGTACAGAAAAAACCTTCCCTTCTCAGATGGCACCTAATCGTTGCAAAATAGAAATCAGCTCTGAAACAAAACCAAGAGATTGAATTTTCCTAACAGATCATTTATCGTCAACAGTTACAACTCCAGACATTCTTCATATTTCTGTAAAAGCATAATTTCTTTACTACTTATGTTCTTAAACTTCATGATTCCATAAATTTGCACATATCACAGTTAAGCATAAATAGTGCAAAAAGTATCTTATTAACTTTAAAATAATACAGCAAATAGCCAGGTTTTGCAGAGAGAGGAAACTTTGTCCATTCTGCACTAGTCTCCTATGATCACTAATTTACACACTTATCATCTCTTGTCTAACTTAGCTGTCTTCAAACCCAAGCAACACCAACACCTTTCCATAGTCGTTTTCTCCCTGCACGATTGATCATGCTTGTTACACCTCTTTCTGGTTTGGAAAGTGGAACACTGTTTTCACTACTACTCAGCCAGACAGCCACAGTGCTGGCCTTAGTAAAAGCAGGCTATACTACACTTTGAAACCTTGTTAGTTTCCCCACTATAGCTGCAGATTTACATATCTTATGCTTACTGAGTTCTTACTTACAGGTTCAATTTTCAGGGCATTTCTGTAGCTCCCAAAGAAAGATGCTTGTGCTTTGAGAAATGCTCTTGCAACACCATCTCCAGTGGTTGTAGAGACTTTCTTCAATCTGCTCTTCAGTGCAGAAACCTGAAATCACACAAGAAGACCAGATCATGCTCTTATCAAAACCAAAGCTTGACACATTGGGGCACTGCTAAATGAAAAATGTGCTAACCACAGCAGCAGTTATGATAAAAAGTGACATGGTGAATTCAGAGTTGAATTTTTCAGTTCTAAAAGTATTACTTTTTAAGCTCTTTTGCTTCTCTAAGGTATGGTTGGATTCTATTCAGAAACCAATAGGAAAATAAAAAGCTCCATTTCAACCTTCCCTCCTACTTATAATCAGCTGTTAGCATGCCATTGAGTACTCTCTTGCAGGTAGTCCATGAAGTTCTGCATCTTGATTAGGATCCATGGAAGAATTTCAGCTAAATTAACATCATCATTTCAAACATCACATTAATAGGGAAACTGTTCAGCGCAATCAGGCCATCCATCACCACCAAAGCTAAGAACAGATTCTGTACGACTGAAAAATGTGTTTGCCACAAATACAGGTTTTGTTGTTTTTTTTCTCTTTTAAGGTTATATTGCCTTGTATTTCAGAGGAGAACACCAAAATGAGAGCTTTATTTGTGCATATGGCAGGTTCCCCTGGCTGGCTCCCAGACTCCCACCCAGCTGCTCCCTCACGCCCCTCCTCAGCAGGACCTGAAGAGAAAACACACAGAAAAAGCTTGTGGGCAGAGATAAAGATAAGGAGATCACTCACCAATTAAGCATCACTGGCAAAACGGGCTCAACTTAGGGAAGCTAATGTAATTTATTGCCAATTAAAATAGAGTTGGGTGCTGAGAAATAAACTAAAACACCTTCTTCCCCTCCACCTTTTTCCCTCTCAACTCTCCTACCTCCTCCCTCAGCGGCACACGGAGATACGAGTCCACCATAGCTCGTCCCCGAGCTTTCTTCCTCACCCTTTTACTCTCCTCACGCCCCTTCTTACACCTGCTTGAGGGGCAGCGCCATCCCTGCCGTGCCCGGCCGGCTCTGCCGCGGAACCGGCCGGAACCGGCTGGAACCGGCTCTGTCCTGCGCCGGCCTCTCCTCACAGCGGCCCTGCCGACGCCTCCCCGCAGCAGCCGGTGCAATAGGGAGCACACACCCCGCAGGTGTTGCAAGTCTCGATTTAACGACATTCTGGCGACCGAAGGGGGGTTTTCTCCCTGATTCCCACTACATGTGAACCACCTGTGTGCGGATGGCTCTGCTCTTAACCCTCACTTGCCCTCTCCCACCGTGGAGGTGTTTGATTACCTCAGGATTCAGAGCTGCACGTCAGGCAAACGCAGCCCTAAGTGTCTCAATGCCGTTTCCACAGACACCAGTCACAACAAATCCCAACGAACACATCCATGCAGAGTTAAAACTACCACGATCCAGGTTACCTGAATACTCTTTGCTTTCTGTGTACACCAAGAGCTAAAGTTTTAGAGGATTATCCATTACTGGATTATCCACAACTGTTCTGTGCCTCAGAATTTCTCGCACATGCAAGAAGGTTGTGACTTAAGTTTGATGCCTCTTTTCTAGTCCTCAGAGCTCAGTAAATACTGAAGTAAGGTTGTGTATCTATATATTATTGTTTGTGACAGCGTTCTTTTCCAACACAAGCTGAGAAAGGAGATAAAAACCTCTTTCAAACACAAACATCAAGCTCGCTGTGTCTGTGCTGCAACACTTTCCGGTTACCTTAAATCATTAACAAATAGTTATGTCAGTTTCCATTTTTCAGTGTCGCAGACAGAGCCAGGACAAGCTAAGGTCTGAGCTATCTCCCACACAACACACAGCAATACAAACCCAACAGTCTGGGCACCGGTTCTTAAAAGGAATCCAACTTCGTGCTTTTAGAGGCTGTGGTCATGTTGTGCAAAACCTGAGCTTGATGAGAGACCTTCTGCAGAAGACTGGAAGGAAGCACAGCTCCAGAAGGAAAGCAGAAAGCCAGGAAATCCCCAGCCCTCTGAATTTGCAGAAGAACATTCATGACTCCGTAAGTACCCATATTGTGAACACAACAGAAATAATTCCATCAATAACCAGCAAATCTGCCTTTTTCAAAAGCATGCAGTACATGACACCAGATTTAGTCAATCATGCCCATGAAATAAGCTCACTCCTATTCACTGAGAGAACATGTCTCAAGGAGCTTTGTTATTCTTGAAATCTAAAAGCTTCATTAGATTTTCAAACCTGAATGGCACACTTCTCCATGTTTGAAGGGGTCTGATGCTGAAGGGATGAAATACACATGTACTTCCTATAGCAATTTACGTAAACCATTTAAAGGTAGCTCTTTAAAGTGCAATAAAATGTCCACAGCTCTGAGTAACTTCCAAATCCATCTCAAACATTGTTAAAAGTGATTTTCACATTCATGTAGAGATAAAGAACTTGCCATTTATATAAGAAGAGCTCTATGCTCCATTTTACAACAAAGTTCAGGAAGCTAGTCACAGCCTTTCTGTGTTTCAGCTTTCCTATTTGGTATAGAAGCAGAATATTGATATGTATTTTGCTACCTCCTAAAGCTTTCAGATCATTTGTTCTCTTTTAAGACTAAATCAAACACTGTCGGATGTCTATTTCATGTGTGTACACTTTTAATGTTTCAATCAGGATTATGGCAATAGGCATGTCATAGTGCTTTTTAAAAAGACAAAACTGTTAACAACAACATACTTAAAGAGACTAACAAGAAAAAAATAACTCATGTTTACTCTGGAATACTTTAGTACATAAGACAAAGTAGATTATACAAGCACAACTATGATTCCTTCCTGCCTAAAGAGGCAGGAATCCTAAAAACCAGGCTGTGACCACAAAGATGAAGATTATTTCTAGCCAAGCAGACACATATACATGCAGTCTATCCTGAGAGTGTTTTTAAAGACGATTTTTATACTTCTGGCAGTTCAGGTTTAAAGGTCCGATTTAAACTATCACCATGTTTCAAAATGCAATCTGTGCAATGCAGCATAATGAAACGGTTCAGTAAAGGTGCTAGTGAAAATTCTTTTAATTAGGTCCAAGGCTTTTCTGTTGTCAACATGAATAAAAGCAAGGAACATTCTATTGCAAACACAGTGTAAGAAATCAAAACGGATTCACCTTTAAGGAAACGGCTGTGCTATAGAGTTGTAGCTTAGTGCTTCGTGCTGTCCTGAAAGCAGTTAATTTCCTGCTAAGTGAAAAAGAGTAGCATAGGCTTCCTACTTGTGGTAACTTGTTAATGAATGGACAACAGCAGCATACACAAGGAAATTATTGACAGCCTGAGATATTCATAGGCTAGTGCAAATTTACAATACGCTCACAGCCACCAGATACACAAGATATCTTTGGCCCAGTACACAGCATTGTATCAGGGCTTCATTTAATAGAAACTGCAATCTGACAGAGCGAGCTTACGCTTTATTCTTTGTAATAAGAAGCTCTGACTACAACGAAGACTAGAAGATGACACTTATTTGGAAATACATGAAAAATCCATAAGGGTTGCATGAAAAAAAATTACTACCCCCTCTTCGCTATTCCTTGCAACACAGACGGTGGTGTAGGAGACTTGTCAGCAGCAGATGCACTTATTGTAATCACAGTCCTTAATAAATCTCTTTTTTTAATATTGACTATTTTAAAAGGAAAGTTACTTCCCAGGGCGTTCTCATGCTGCCAGATTTTCAGCAAAATATCAGAAGCAGAAGGTGACTGAGGGACAGTTTTTCACATTTCAAATAGTTAATCAGAAATGCAGTAGTACACACCTTGAGTGCCAGCAGGGACTGCCGGGGTAAACTGGGCAAAGAAGTGGCTTAGTCTGACTCTGCTGGAACTGCCTCAGTGCCAGCCAGCTCGTGTGGCACAAATGTTAACTGGAAAGACACTTCACTGTAGCCTATGTTCATTTGGTTCCTGGGAGTAAAAGACTAAAGAATAGTCCTTTCTAGATTCCCAAGAATCAACAGTTTAGGTCGCAACCTGACTACCATTAAACTCAAGCACAACTCACTACCTGAAGCTCTAAAATAATCATAGGACTCCATTTACTTGATTAAAATAGCTGGTCAAGGAGAGGGGAAAACAGCTTTAAAGATTTTCCCCCGGATTAATTACCTGATGGCGATGACATCGCACAGATGTTTTTCCTCACTGTTGAATATAGATAGATCAAATTTAGCAAAGTAAATTTTGTGTCTATTCAGTACTGCATCAGTTGCTCACTGTTCACATGAAGTAGCAAAACTGGCAGAATAGTCTGACATAAGAGCCATTTATGATCATGAAACTCCTGAAGATATTTTTAGTTCCTCAGACCATACATACATCTATTTAAGACTGAGACCAGTGGGGAGACATGCTCCCAGAATCTCCCCATCCTTCTAGACAAGTAAAAGAAGAGGAAAAAAAAAAAAGGGAAAAAAAAAAGTATAATGGATTGGCTTTAGAGTCTCCCTGCTGAGATGAACAACTTGATCCACTTACAGTTCCAAACACATGATGCATGAAAGAACTGACAGAAATTCAATTCTTGCAAAGAAGAGCAGCTGCTCTCTAGTGGTCAAAGCCAAATATTAAGCAGTCTGAAGGAAAGGAAAAGACCTAGAGGAGAATACTTCATTATCTAGGTAACTAAAATAATGAAACAAAGCTAAATAAGACATAAACACTGATCCCAAACATTAATTACACAACGCAACACGATTCAAGTTAAGGCTTTGTTGCGACAAATATTAATCCCAGCTGTATTTATATAGCAGTTGTGAAAAAAAATACACCATGTACGCTATTTGTGAGCCATGCCAGTTAATTGAATTTGCTGGCAGCACTTCCTCTGCTATGCTCCAAACATCCTCCAAGATAAAATGTAGCTTTTAAATAGACCTGTGGAAAACTGAATCAAGAAATCTGAACTAATAAAACACAACTCTCTACTGTTATAAAAGTGGAGTAAAAGTAAATAATGAAAGGAAGGAAGTCTCTTAAAATTTATTACATTCCAAAGCTTGAAGTTCTGCGTTTATTGGTGAAGTCTCTTCTGATGTTCTACAGTGCGCCTACAACAGCTCCTTTAATGAAGTCTCATAAAATCTAATATAATACTTGATTGTTGACAAATCATATACATGTTTGAGGCCCCGCACTCACTGTATCCAGACATTTCTTACATAATTCCATTAAATTTACAAGTCTGTCATTCCCCGGGCTGTGGATAATGGCGCGAGCGATGACCAGCTGGCACATTTGGATGCTGGGAGTGGAATCAAAATGAAAAACTATATAAAGCCAGAAAAAAATTTGTGGAAGTAACTTTTATAGACTAAATGCTTGACTAAAGCCAAAATGTTCACAATCAAGACGGACCTTTCATCCAGAGCTCACTGTTTTCGAAGAACGGATCACAGAGAAATGACGGGATCTCACAGGAGGAGGTATACTCACATGGGGTATATTCACCATTACTTGTGTTTTAACTCAGACAGACCCAGCTTACACTGAGCTCCCTGCGTATCAATTTTATTTCTCAACTACACATGAAAAGGCATAGATCTAACTGTCAGCACAATATTTTGAACTAGTAAAAGAAATCCAGATTTCCCCCTGCCATTTCCTCCTAAACAGTCACCCTCTGACTTAAAAATAACTTCTTACACTCTTACATTACTGTTCTTCCCTCACAGCTTCTTTAGTGTAGATGATTACAGCAGCAAGTAGCAAGGTGGGTGTATTTTTCTTCCATTAACAGGAAAGATCAAGTGTTTATACACCATTGCCATTAAGTAATTAAAAAATAAATAAATTACTAATAAAAATGTTGAATGAGAAAGAAAGTTCCAAATTATATGCACTGAGCAGGGCTAGATGTTAACATGAAATAATCCTTTTGATATCACAACTCAGGATATAAAATGTACAAAGTTCATGGAAGCCTACCTGGAAGAAGGCACAGGAAAACACCCACACAATTTCATCTGGAAACAAAAGGTATCTAAAAATGGATTCTTTTTTTCCCTCGGTGAAATGGTTTAAAATAGTAGTACTTTTTCACACCATGAAGAAAGAAGTTTGAATTTTTGTTTCCTGTTTGGTGGTACCATAACCTGCACGTTTTTCATTTGTTTTTTTTACCCACAGAATACCAACTCTTCAGATGACCGGAAACCTGATTGTGCCATTCCAAAACTGAAACTGGGTTGCTGCAGCATTGCCATCTTATGTGAGCATTAGTTAATTTTCATTAGGAGCCTTAAAAAATATGACTGCAAATGTTCAAACAAGCATTCTTTAACACTTCAAAACAGGAAAGAATTGAGGTAAAGCAATTTACTCATAATAATTTAACAGAACAAGACACCTCAGTTAGAAAACAAACAGGTCACAAGGACTTAATATTTTAAGTAATGGAATAGTTGGATAAATCATTTCATACATACCACATCATTAGGAAGACTCTGAAGGTCATCAAAAGGGGTTTCCAGTGTGTTGGTGTCTACATTAAGAATCACTACATCTTCCAGGGCCATGTTTCTTACTTTCTAAATATGAGCAAATTCAAGAAAAGGTAAAGGAAAATATAAGAGTGAAGAGTTAAATTTTAGGCACAAAGGACACAAGTGATAGTGTAACATCACGGCATTACAAAAGCATTTTAAAACTAACCAACATTCCTGTCTTTCTGTCACCATTTGTTTTATTCATTTACATTTTATATTGCCAAAAAATAACCCTTCAATTTACGGAGGGTAGTCCTTAACATTGTGCACACTGAAATTTCTGAAACTAGTGTTACTGTTTGAGATTATTTAAGAGAAGATTTATTTCAAACACCTCCACTAATGCTTGTCTTAATTCTGGTATCCTGTTTGCACATTTAGCAGTTTCTAACTGAGTCAAATAACAGCGAACAGTGGCCTTTCTAGGAGTTAAGAGCTGCAGTAAGTCAGGGTTGGGAACTGGTTTCCAAATTCCAGGTTGAATTTTAGAGGCAAATTTACAACTGTATTTAAGTAAAATGGATGCTACCAGAGTTTAATAAAAATACAAATCATTAAAATGAAAAAGAGCTAAGAGAAAAAGAACACCACCATATCCTGGCCACTAAAAGTTCAGCAAGTCTAAAGTCTTTATCCTTTCCCATGAACTGAAAGGAAGAAATGGCTCTAATCTAATTTGAGTGTTAACATCATCTGTAACAGTACATGGACACACAAAAGAAAAGCACAACCCATTTCTCAAAAGAGTGATCATTAGTACCTTTGACTTTAAGTGTCTAAAGCTACTGGTGATCTAAGCAAATTTAAACGTTGTCAGCCTTTACTTCCCTGCTTAAACAACAGTAAATGAATCACTGATATGAAACAGAGCAGCACTGAAATATTTATTTTAACACTTTTTCACTAACAGGAGAATTGAGGTTTGGGGTTTTTTTGACTGACTGATCATACATATTTAAGCCCTCTTCAAATAAAGCTTTGAAAATCAGGAAAAGTGGAACTATAGAATACAGTAATTAAGGAAATGTCCCAGTGAAACTGTAAACAAATATTTAAGTTCCAACACACCTATACATAGGACCAAATGCAAGTTCCTGAGGAGGAAAATGAACAAAACCATACTCCATTTTTAATTGAGGTTTTGCAGGGTGGGGGGAATTGTTTCCTTTAAAATAAAAAAGGAACTAAAGCTCTAAAACAATGGCAAAGTTGAGCCTTAGGCATCTAAATAATTACCTTTGGTTTTCAAGGCTCAGTCCTCTGTCTATAAAGAAAACTGCTGTGTACTTGGGGGCAGAGGGGGAAGGCAACAACTATAAAAACCACTTTGTAGACATTTAATTTCAGGTCTTCCATGAGAAATGTCTTTAACTTAAATGGAGGAATATTACATTTAATGCTTCTCATATAAAAAGCACAAGCACTGCATGACAAACCAGGTACTTTCCTCTACATTTCAGGAACCAAAGGTCACTCTGTTGGCTGCATCTGATAAACTCTAAAGCAATCCAGGAGTCTTGCTCCTTCTAGGAGTCCGGAAGCACCAGACAAACTGATTTGCTCCTTCCTGTTTCAGAAAATTAAAAATCTCACTTATACTCAGAGGAGTCTAAAAAGCTCCAACAAAAAGGCCTTGCAATGTACTTAACCAAAGCCAGAAGCTTGTCAAAATCGAGTACTAGCAGGACAAGACAGAAGGAATTAAAACCTCCTCTTGATTCCTGCCAGAGAAACAACAAACGTGTGCTTGAACTTGTCAATGGGTGTTTTCTGTAACTTTGATGACAAATCTGCACCTTCCTTTCAGCAAAACATCTTTTTCTGTAGCAAAGAACAGGCTTGTGACAAGGGCTGGCTGACACAGGTCCAGTACAAAAGGATGATTCTTGTGGTACAAGGACTATAAATGCTGATCACCTCCACACACGGCCCAGAAATAATTGTACTGAAAGGAAGGCTCATTAAAATCTGCTGTGCTATATATTTACACTGTGAGGAGGACACCATTACTTCAAAAGTTCTCAATATTTGTATTAGGACAGGGGATTTCCCTGGGGACAAATCTTCAAATTTAATAAAACACTAGAGAATAACGTGATTTATAGCATCTATCTTGCAATGCATTTGAAGAAACATATTTTTTCAGTGGTCCAACTGTGTCTTATCCTAGAGAAATGCAAACTGACCAGTTAATCTTAATCCTTACCTGGTTTTATTGTTTCTCTTCACTGTAATCTTTGACAAAGGTATCATCAGATAGTTATAAAGGCTTCTGTCAAATAATCACATGGCTCATCAAACATAGCACCTATCAGCCCAAGTCACTCGGAAACAAAAGCATTTACTCTCTTGCTGGAAGTTTAGTAAAAATTCCCAGCATTCAACTGCATTTCCCACAGTAATCCCATTGGAGTCTATGAATTGCAACTCCATGTAGATCATTTTCACTGTTAGAATGTGCGTTCTCGTAATTTTCTCAAAGCACAAAGGGACAGCCACTAAGCCATATACAGTCACATTCCATATTTCACAACTCCCTGAACATCAAGAAAAATATTACAAATAAAGTGATACCTGTTAAACAGAATGGACTATATTCACTATGTTCGTATTTTGCTGAAAAAAACGTGAAGAAGCAAAGAACAAGAGGAAATATGAACATTACAGTTTCCTTACCTAATTTTACTACAGACTGGGGATTTTGGGGTCAAAAGAAGTGATTCAGTGAAAATGTGCATCATGTATCACTTACTGCAAGCCTTTCTTAACCATCCTTACCGAATTACTTGTAGCCATAATTAATCATCTAAAAACCATCAAACTGAACTAACATCTACACCTGCCTTTTATTTTAAATGTCTCTTTTTAAAAGAGTGGAGAGGTACAGAAAGCTGGTTTAACAAGCACACTGAACCCATTGTTTATGGCCTCTATAAACATGGCTTAGTAAGAATTACTGACTTAATCAGAGAGAACTTATCTCCTGGTGAAAAGAGCACTTTAAATTTCAGAAATGGCACCTTTGCTGTGAAAATCTCTTAACTTTTCAAACAAACTCCAGGGGGCCTTAAACACCAGGTCAGTAAATAAGCAGCAGTTAGAGCGTCTGTCCGGCTCACAAGCAGCCAAACACTTGAAGTAATTTAAATGTTTTATGTGAAAGTTCACAAAAATACCAAGAAACTACATTTGAATGGGAGTATGAATGGGTGCTCCTCTGTCTCACTCGGATCACATGCTAGAAGCAATATTCATCAAAAATACTAACACCAGTTTATACTAAATGTTATTTTATGATCGCTGTCTGCAGTTGGCAGGTTTGCATTTCCTACCATAAAATGCCCCAAGTTAAACTTCTCTCAGATGAACAATTTTATTGAATAGTTCACTTAAAAACCAACAACACCCCCCTCCTACTCCCAAAACCAATTTGCATAACTTCATGGTTAAATTGGTGCCAAAACGTAAACCAAGTTGATTGTGAGGTTTTATAACCAGATACAAATGTGATCAAGGTATTGAGAAATGTTGCAACAGAAAAAAGGAATCCTTTTGGAAAGGTAAAACTCTTAGCAAAGCCTAATATTCTTCACAGCTACTTTGTACATTATATTTGAGATTCTTATGAAAGTACGGCTCACAACAAGTCGAAAATCCCTTTACTTAATGGCTTGTCTCTACTTAGTTAATAGTTTCCCTTTATTTTCTTCAGAAAAACACCACACCACCGCAGACAACAATGTGTCAATCTGGCTGCCAGAAGCAGGAAAGGCAACGGATATAAAATTTTATTATTTCATGCCCCAACAGCAGCCAGAAGGACTTAATGAAATCACCCTTAGATTTACAATCTGAAATGGCTATTCAGCAGACAAATCTGGTTAGGCGGGATGTGCCCCCTGACCCCCCGGCCCTTTGATCCGGGCGCAGCAGGTGGGCTGCGACCCCCTCCTGTGCATCTCCCACTCTTCCGCCCAGTCCCAACCTTGATGTGCAGTGCCCTGATCCTGCACAGGTGATTCTCAAGATCCTTATCATAAGCAGCTGTTGCCAACTGAGTGACAAACATCACTACTGCTGCTCTAACGCTGTTGTGCAACGGAACAGAAAGAACCTTCTACGCTTACTGGTAACTCTACTTGGTACCATCTTATTTGTCTGTCTCAAAATTCCTTGCACACATAATCTCTTACTGAAACACAGGTATTATTTTCATTTTCCCAATAATTGGATAAAAGACAATTCCATCATATTTTAAATGCACTCTATTAGTACTTCTGAAACCATGTACAGCCATATTTATGATGTTTGTGACTAAACTACACTGAGTTTAAGACCTGGATCTAAGCATACACATATATATAACCCTTCATCTAAACCCTGTGAAAAAGCTACACTTCTTAAGGTATAGCTAGAAAAGGCAGTGATTAACTAAGTATAAATGGATGGAAAAAGCTAGTTATTACTCCTCACCTCAACCAAAAGATATAATTAACAATTAACACTACCACTGGAAGATGCCAGTGGTCAATGAACTCTCAGGGTGTCTTCTGCAGCATGGAGAAACCACAGGGCACTGTCAGGACTAAGCCCCGGGCACTGTCAGGACTAACCCCCAGCTGATGAAACCTGTTTCTCAGTTCATTATCTCACACTCTGCTCAGGGTAACCGGTGTATTATCAGGCTGGATCACAAACAGTGCATCCTCCTGCCAACCTGAACAAAACAAGGTAAATATGCCCAAAAGTGCTTCCAGAATATGTGTGGGTTCAGTGGAGGGAGCACACAGCTTTCTGCTCATCTGCCTAAGGAAGAGACTATCGACATTACTGAGATCAGCTGCCCCGTCTAACCATATTAAACACAGCATGAATTCTACTGAACCTTCTCCTAACATATTTACTCATAGCAGGTTGAAATGAAACAAAAATCTGCTCCTATAGGCTTTATGATATCCACAACTGTCCTTTATGCTTAGGAATAAATATTAGGCAAACATTCTGACAAATGCAACGTGAAGTTTCACACACAGCTTCATCCCGGATAATCTTGCAAGAATTAAAATCCTGAAGTCCCAGAAAAAGCCCTCAAGTGACAGGAATGAAAAAAAAAATAAAGGCATAAAAAGTACTTTTCTGATGATGAACTTTAACTCTGATGGTTGTGTTTGTCCCCCATGGAAAGGGTGGGCGTTATTGTTACTGGAATAACTAACTGGCAGCCTGGCACAGAAGAGCACAGTGCCAGCAACTCCGTGTCTGACAGCTGAACAGAACTATCCACAACAGTTAATCAAACCCACATGTGTCTAGATTCCAATAGGTAGTCTACTAGGTCAAGGGCATTCCTCTTCCATCAGCACCATCACACTAATAACCTTCCCACAGAAACAGTTGCTGAAACAATTGTTTACTATGACAAAATGTAAAAGGCTGCCTGCGAAGTTTGACACCACTCATAGCATGCAGGTCAATTTAATAGTTAGAACAGTAAACCAGCACAGAGCATGCAGGTAGAAAATAAAACAAGATTATGAAAGGGACTTGTTCATTTGATAGGGTTTCATTTTCCTATCTCATTATTTATCAATACTAAGTACTTATCTTCATCTAATATGAATTCAATTAGTTCCGTAAGCATGTTCCATTATTCATGTGATAGCTCCAGCCTTGCTTATCCAACAGCTTATAAACTTTTAGCCTTCTTTGAAGTCACTTTATGGATTGCTAAATGGAAATCTTATAAAGAATGACTAACTAGGTGATGATAGAAAAGCTGAAAAATAAGAGCACAAAACACAGCTCTATATTTTCTACCAAGTTTTTCCCTCATAAATCAGTTGGCGCCCTCTGACCTATAACAGGAGATTATCTTATCTCACTGGAGAACATTTCAGTCACAGCAAATTAGATTTAACAGTCAATGGATATGCTTGATATTTTAATCATAAGAAAAATTTGTCATTTTCCATTAAAATAACTGCTCCTTGTACAGAGACCCTGTGTAACATGGGAAACTGCAAACTAACTTTAAGATGCAAAATGGTTTGGAAGAAAACCTTTTGAGGTGAGGGATAGTGTGTATTTAGTTTAAAATCAGTAACACTGCTGCTGTATTTCTTCAAGAGGACCTGTTCCAAAGTAGGGAGAGCAAAACCCCACAGAAACACCACCAAAGCCAGAAAACTATTTCTTCCTTTATCCCAAACCCACCCTCCCCACAGCTTGCTCCACACAAGCTTAGGCTTCCACTAACATTTATGCAACAATGACAGATTCTGCAATCGGAGCTGCTGGAGCAGAACCCTCAGCCTATATATAACTGCAATCGCCCCCGTGGGGCCCTCCAGCAGATAAAGAGTCCACCTGCCTGAACTTCAATAGAGGACTGGGGAATTAATCCCTCATCCTGGAACTAGAACATGTGAATTAACAAAACACTTTTAGAGATGTATTTGCTGAGATTTCAGCATTTAAAGAAAAATTAATACTCAAGACTGGCAGTAATTTTTAGTTGTGTCTTAAAAAAATACTTTGATATGGAAAAATTAGTATCTTGTGTTTTAAAAAATACACAACTGCTAGATCACGAGGAAAAAATTGCTGTTGTTACTAAATTGTTATTCTAATAAATAAACCACACAATTCGATACATACAGATGAAGAAAAAGACAAAGAGTAAGCTTTCAGCATCCAACACAGGCAAAGAGGTAAACGAGAAACTGACTGGTACATCTGACCCATCACCTTTCCTTTGCCCAAGGCACAGAGAAATCATACAACAGATCCACGAGCCTCTGTGTTTTTATCTTTCAAGGGAAAAAGCAGGGCTAGTTGGAAGATTCATTTCTATCTGGAACTATTCAATCTATCCATAAGAGCAGAGGGAGGAGAGAAGACAGTTTGTTTTATTTATTTAATTTATTTCAGAAGGCACTTTGAATCACGGTACTTTGCCAAAGTGTGTCTGTGTTCCAGAATCTCGGGCTATTCAAAAGCCATACTGGATTTAGTACTAAACAGATTTTTTCACAAGTTACTAAAATGGATAAAAATTGGCTTCTCCAAGAACAACTCCTTTTTTTGAGTTTTTACAGATGGAGTTTGGAGGCCTGCAGAGCCCTGCAATCTGAAACATGGAGACAAAGGGAGAGGTAATGGGTTTGTGTAGCAAGGCAGGAGTGGGACATCACACAAAGCAACTCCAAGGTGTAATTATGAATTTTATTTTTCTATACCCATTGCCAGGCTCACCACGTAGCTCTTTGTGAGCAAAATTACTTGTGAGAGCTGACAAGTATCTGCACTGAGATATGAGCCCATCTTCTACCACGTCTCTTCCTTCTTTTTTATAGATACTACAATACACATGCAATCATTACCTGGCACAGACATGGGGCAGAAAGCTTCCTGATTAACTTGAAAAACATATGCTAGACTATTTCTTCCTAGACATTACTTTGGTGCCGTCTATGCAGCATTGAAGGGTAATTATCAGAAATCCCTCTAACATAAGCATATGATGTGCAAACAAACGTACATGTTGACTTTTAAAATAATTGCTTATTCACTACCACATTGTACTGCAATTCTGTACTTCATTTAGCAATATAAAGGGCATAAAAAGTCATCAGTACCCAGGATAGTAAGGAAAAAAAGAGTAAGGAAAAAGAGGTCCTGCACATTCCATCGAGCTCCTCACAAAAAAAGCAACTTCTAAAATTACTTCACATTAATGCTGGAAAAAGGGGGAAGTGACAGCATGCTAGTCCCAGTTTTAACACACAAAGACATAGAGGATCATTATTACATACACACACCCCAGTGAACGAATATGTTCGATCAGTATTTCCAGAGAAATGACACATTTTGGTGGAGAATATAAGTACAAATATCCTAGTAACGTGCATTACTTCATGCGATATAAAACTCGGTTGGGCGAGTTGTTACGGATCCTAAACACTACTCCTAAATTTCCAAACACGGGCATCTAAACCAGGGACACAAGTCAATTAAGTTTCAAGGGCATTTGCAACTCCCACCAGTTCAACAGTGTGGCTAATTTAAGAGCCTACACAGAGGCAGGGCTTTGTGGGCAGGAATGCCTCTTCCCACACAGAGCATACACGTTGTTCAGGCTTCCTGTCTAAAGGGGCATGATTAATAAGGACTCTGATTTTCACAGGGAACTAAATTAATAGCTTATGTTGTCCTCCAGATACTTTTGAGGAAAACCATCAACTGTTTCACCAGTACTGGAAGCAAACGCAAATGTGCTATTTCCACTTTTAGACTTTTTAAAAAGTCACATGAATTACTCTGAATTGTTTATATGTGAAGCTTTCTGTGAGGGCTGGTTTGCTGCCAGCTTTGTGTTAACATTAACAGCAAGTTCCTTCTTTTCAGATCTTCTGAACATTAAAAAAATTACAATCTGTCTGCAAAAGCCTAAAAGAGAACTGTAACTGTCAACATTTTGGTTTAATATCGACTCTGCCTTTGTGAATAGAGTCAAACTAAGGCAGGAAACTGCTGAAGTGAAGCAACAGGATGGAGAGGGGAACACAACATGAGCTTGTCGCCAACTGCAGAACTAGAAACAAAGTATGCCCAGAGAGTACCAGGTATCAAACGCCCCTGAGATTTAACACTATCATGCTTAACTGTGGTTCTCTCAGTACTCCCAAATTAACAGGACTATTTTATTTTCAAGCATATGAATGAATGTATAATTACTAGTTCTAAATCATAAAACATTATAAGTTTCAGAAATGGTGAGAAAGACTTACCTCCATCAAACTTAGATGTATTCCAATGAGGTAGGGCATTGGGGCACTGCAAAGAGGAAAGAAATCCAGCTTTACTTTCTCATAACACAGTGGATTAACACATCTGACTTATAAAATTAGCTACAGGAAAATACTGGGATACTGGATTAGATTTTGCTTAAAATAATAATATCTATATAATGAAACCACATATGAACAAAATTTTATTCCATATTTGAATGACTTTTTTTACGATGCAATATCCTCTCCCCATTGTAAAACTTGCATTTTTCTTGACATCACAATTTGTAAGTGGCTCAGCTAAGACAGGTACCTAAGGAGAGCTGGTAAAGGATCTATAATGCTCGGTCTGTTCTTAAAAACCAAACAAAATGTGTTAATACAATATTAAAAATAAAAATACACAGACTTTTTCTTAGAGTATTCTTCAGACAAACCCATCCTATTGCAGTGTTAAGTGGTTAATTTAATACATTAAACACGTATCGCCCCGTACACAGGTTTTAAATCCTTTCAATATGGACACATTTAAATAATTTATCTTTAAGTATAAATCTTAAAACGTTTGCATTTATGAAAGAAAAATACAAAAAATAGTGTTGAAGATTCTGATGAACTCCAAAGCTCCTGGGACATACACCAATACCATCAGATCCTCCAGAACACAAACCTTAAATACACCAAGAGACTCTTTGGCCAAATTTGTAGCCTCAGACACAGGTGTGATGCCACTGCCCTCAAACAGCACACTAACATTTAAGAGAAAGATTGATCTTTTCTGGTTTTCCTTCCATGATGTTAGCAAACACCAACATGGGCTCCATAACACGAGAAGAACACTGAATGGAAGTTGTATCTTTGTGTATACAGTATTGCTAATATTAAGCCTATTACAGGACTCCCACTCAACTAATCAGGGAAAGCTTATATTTGCACTGCTTATTAGAACACATCAAAGAGGATGCCAAAGCTGCTAATTGCAAATATGGCATATACTGCCTGTTAAACGGAAAGCACACAGACAGACACAACTTTTAAAATAGCCTCATTTTGGTTTGGATACAGCAGCTCAAAGAGCTCATTTTCAATTTCAGATTAAAAAAAAAAAAAAAAAGAAAAAAAAGAGAGAGAAATGTCACTGTACTGCCTTGGATTAAAATATCTTCCATATTGCTTTTAGAAACTGGTACCTACTGCTCAGTAAGAGAAGTACGCTGCTGAAAAAAACTACTGAAAGGCACCAGACCAGCAAAAATCACTGCTTCTAGTTGTCATGAGAAATACCTTTTAAAACTATATTTACTGACAGGCATATTAATGATTATCAGTTTACTAATAAACCCCCTAAAACTGCTACTCTGTTGGATGCTGTACCAAGAGATGGAAACAGCCTCTGTGTTAGACACTGCACATGAAAACACTTTTTGAAGACTTTAAACAAATCTAATGTAAAAGCCCCACACAAGTTCACTTGTGGAATCCTGCAGTGCTGTGTATTGCATCACAACTCACTGAACTGAGTGAGAATGTCCCTGCCCCAGCTTCACCCAAGACAGCACCTCATGACAGCCCAGAGAGATACACATCCCAAAGGCTCTGCTTCCCTGGGAATGTCACAGATGAGAACATACATCCAAGTTCTTAGAAATTTTTCCATGCAACATGATACACACTTGCTACATATGGATCGTTGCATGCTGCTGGGCAGGTCTACTTGTCATTTTGCATGTTTTATTTGTGACAAACGCTATCTCTTTCACCCACATCTCATCGTTTCCAGTGGCCACATTCCAGGAGCAAGGAAATACTCAGTAATTTTATATCCAAAGTATAAACCACCAGGTCAGCTGCCAGCTGCACAAACGCTCGACTTCCCCATGTGCCTGGCTGCGCTGCTCAAGACTCCTCCAGTGTACACGGCCATGAATGTGTTTCTAATTAAGCAGTTTCATGAACACGACAGCTTCAATCTCAAAAATACAAAGTCTGAACCTCAGCAGGAAGTCTTAAGACTGCAAATGTCTCATCTAGTGGAACTTTGGCTAACGTAATGAAAGGAAGCAGCAACAGTGCAGTACTCCAGAAAAACAGCCACTTATTAACATGCCCAAAAGTAGAGTCTGTCACCAAGCACAGGAAAACCTGAACCTGGAAAAGTTACTTAACTGTATCATGTCCACCTTTCAATGCATAATGATGCAATGAATAATCTTTTCAGTTTTCCAGTAACAAGCATTACAAATAAAGGCAATACAGCCCATAAAACTACTAAAGGGACGGCATAAAGGCTACAGTAACTGGACTTCTAAAAGCATTCTGAAATCTGTTATTTCTTTAAACATGCATTACTAAATATTCAAGGACTCCAGTCCTCCAGTGCTTAATGGACTGTACAGGGCATACACCTGGACAGAGAAGAGACAGAACGAGCAACAACTTGATACTATACAACTACAAAGAGAGGTTTCAGCATACCCACTGACAGGAAAAATTGCTCTGGTTTTGCTGAGGATATGAAAAAGGAAACTTTGAAGCAGTAACTTGTTAAAGTACAATGTGTTAGCTTTGCAAATATTTGTGCTTATGAAGAGGTTTTTAAGGACAATTCACCATGATAGCCCCTTATGCTCCCAAAAGTTTAACTAAGCAACCGTCATAAATAACCTCAATAGAATAAAATTCTGGTAAAGAGCATAAATACTCCCAAACAGATCTACCAGAGAGATTATATTCTTTTGTCATCACCCACCAAGATGACTGAAAAGGAAACACACCTAAAAGCAAACGTTGAAGGCTTATGTCAGGGTTCATAAATTGCTTTTATCATCCTTTTTCTTTATCATGTGTTGATCATATGCCATTGCTTAAATACTCAGCCACCCTTGGTACAAGGGAATGGTGTGTGCCTCCTCTTCCCATTCAGAGCATAACATCACAGCTCTTCCTAACTGCTATTCAGGTCCTGAGACATGAAACACTCAAGCAGTTTTTAATATTTTATCAGGTGAGATGTGTATTTCCAAGACTTTCAAGTGAACTTCAGTAAGACACATTGCTTGTATAAATGGGAGGAACACTCCGCACAACCTTTAATCCTCTGGGACCCACGACAGATTAAAGACTGCCCTTCAGACCAGTCTTTACCTACTGCTTGACACTTCATCACTCTCGGGGCTTCTTACAACCACAAGTACTAATTACTCAAAGTTGTTTGATGGCAGCCAATATCCATGAAGTGCAAAATTAAGAAGTATCAGTTTCTACTGTGTGTATTTACTGCTTGAACAAAATGCCTGCCCAAGTCCTCTGGAACAAAGAGAAAGGTTATTACTCCTCTTGTGCTACACGGGTTCCCAATGCAATCAGCGTTATTTATAATCAAATGAGTTATATAGGTAAACATCAAATCATTAAAGTAGCAATGCATAAGCATGAATATGGATATTGTGGACTTAATGGCTATATATTGCCCATTTATTACAGCTGCATTTTTACAATTTCTTTAATTCCTTTCCTTAGGCTAACTAGAGACCTCTTAATTATGCTCCCAAGAGGTGGGCAACTACTAATTGGAAGAGAAGCAGGTGAAATAGAGGGACATTTCCTCTTAAGTGAAAAAAAAAACACCCTTAAAAAATATTGCAATTCACCAGAACAAGTAATGTAAAACCCAAGGATCTCAAAAAGGTTCATAGTTTACAGCTACACAGGGATTTGCAGCATTTTGCTTCACTGTTCCTGGAAAATTGATTTGATCACATTTACTAAGTTCATGTCTTGATGTACAAATACTGACTTAATCCATCATTCGCTCACACTGGTAGTACTTTATTCTCTACGGCAGTCTCCTGATTTCTCGTCAAGATTACTCTCTGAAATGCAACAGAATTCAGTCCAAAACATATTGGGTAATTGATGCAAATAAGGAACTTGACTGCATAAATTGGAATGATGTAGAAAACATACAGCTAAGAAACCAGAAGAGCAACTACAAGAGCTTTTAGTGAGTACACAGATGTACCAGGCTAAATAGAAATGCTGACCGAGAGGCTCCTGAGGAAGGAATCATTGTTTCCAGAGCAGCAGGAGTACTCGCCCTCCAGTTACCCCCTCCACCTACTGACAGCAGCATATTGAACTATATGCAGATTTAGAAAATGGGAGAAAGGGAGTTAAAAAAACTCCTGAAGAAAGGGAAACCCGCACCAATAGAAGCATTTGTTCAGCAGCTGTGCCAGGGCGCTTTAAGAAGGTGGCTCTCAGAATATATTAATGCTGGCTGCTAAGCAGTCCATCTAATTTAAAAGCCTGGTTTAATCACCCCAGAAAATATACTGTTGCTTCTGGTAAAAGCTCACAGAATAACCTGCGTGACAATGCTCTGGGACTTAGAGAACACACTAAGCTGTGCTACCAATCAGCAAAGACAGGCTTTTCTTACAGGTTGATTTTAAACACAGACACCAAGAGCAAAAAAGGAAGAAAACAGACACAGTGGGAGTGTTTTTATGCCACATGAAAAACAAACTGGAAGAAAAAGTGAGGAAAATTAATAGGCTGTTTCTTTCACATCAAGAAATGTTTAAATTTCCAACAACAAAATAGATGGACAAGACCCGGCCAAATTTAAGTGGTCATATGGGCTTGGCTGGTGGTGATGCTTGGTGGCAGTATCTCATTAACCAGTGCTATGTGCACCTGCTTGCATGTACTTTATAAAAACAACCAACAAACCCCCCAGAAAACCCAACTAAACAGAAACCCAACCCAACCAGCAGTGCTTCATGTTTCCTCTGTTGTTCTCCATCCAAAGGAACAAGCAATTGGGCCTTAAGGTGTGAAATCTAATGAACTAGTGGTAGGATTCCCACCAATTTTCAGTCTTCTCCACCAAAATTCTTTCCCTGGGCTGAAAATATACCAAAGAAAGGTACCTAATTAAAAAATAACAGTAAAGGACAGCCCTCTTCCCCTTGCTTCCCATCCACTCCTACCCTCAGTGAATGCAAATGACAGGGATTGGATGACTGAAGTCATTCATGTCCATGGTACTCCACCGCTAGTACTAACTCGGCCTCCTCAGTACAAAGAGTATTAAGAACAAACATTTTGAAGATACAGGCTTTTGGCACACCTCTCTTGACAGCTAAAGGGAACTCTCCTCACCTAGCCTGATGTCTCCCTTACGTGATGTTGGCCAAAAGGATCATCAAGTGGCAGGAGGAGAGTTAGTTACTCTCTGTACCTGTTCACTCTCTGCAAAGGGAGCTATTCTACCTTTTTGTATCTCTGGAAAGATCCAGTGGTGGTTGCGTCCCCTTTTCCTCCCCAGGAATTACATCAAATTTCAAGCTTCACAACCGTGAAGCTGTCAGTGGATCAGTCGGGACCTTAGAAGTTTCCTTTGTATGAAAAGTTTCCAGTGCAACTCAAACGATTAAAAGCAAATACTCACAAGTGGAACAGACCTGTTTCAAAACTTTCAAAGATGACAAGCAATGCAGTCTGTGCACCCTTCTGTGATTGTCAAAAGGGCAGGAGAAGATTCAGAAGCATCACACAGCACAGTCAATAAATGGACACAGTCAACTGAATGAACGTGCTATTTTGTATTCATAAGAACTGAAAAATTCTCCCTTTACGTTCTGTTTCCATTTCAGCTCTTTAAAATCCTTATGCCACAAGTGCAAGAGAAATAACCAGGCGATAACTAAAATTAAACTAAACTCTTCTATTTTAAATAATCTCAGGTCATTTCCCTTAAGAGGCAGACACTGCAATAATCCTGCCTTACAGAGGAGAGCTCGGAGCTGATTGCTCAGTGCTCCCTGGCAAAAATGACGTCTCCAAGTTCACATGGTTACAAAATAGATGGACTCTATTTTGAGAAATATATTTATGGCACATAAATTGTTACTAAATTAGCTTATTCAAACAATTATAGTGTGTGTAGCTACCTCTCCAATTAAAGTTCATAGCTGGCTAAGGCAATCAGTTGTATTTGTGAGCATGCATTCACAATCTGCCTAATAATTCTGCATTTTTAAATTATATTTTTCCCACACTAGCTGGCTCATTCGTTATATGGACAGGGTGTTATGCCATGAAAGAATTCATTCAGTAGAGCTCAATGACATGTGTCTTTATTTCCTTGGGTACACTGCCCAAGTGTTTGCTTTTTGCACACTTCTGCTCCTGACTGCGGGATCTGGACTTAGCCCCTTTTAACGTGCCTTTGTCAGAAAGTCGATGAATACCTAATCTTCAAACCCACCAGCGTAAAAGCCTCTTGTGGTCCACATCGTTGTCCTGAAAACTCCTAGCAGCATGTACCTGAAGAAAAAGCTGGCAGCAGCAGCCTTCATGTGTTAATTACACATGCGAAGCCCATTATGCAGAGAAAGGGCACCTGCTGGCAGTGCAAATGACTAGAGCCTGCCCTTCCTGCTCACCCAGTAAATTGAAGGTTCATTTCTACAGGAGATAACAGTTTTTAGATTCCGTTCCCTGTATCCTCGACATAGGCACATACTTAACATTTAAATCGTCTGCAGAGGAGCAAGCCTCCTTTAAATCTACATGTTTCCGTTCCTAGCACTTCACTTTAAAATGCTGCTTATCCCAGCTGCTGCCTTAATCCTGCTTAAATGCAGAGAAAACGTCACATAGAACACTATCACTATTAAAAAAACAGCCAACCTCCACACTGTTTGGAGGTTGTTATTAAAAAAACAGCCAACCAAGCCACACTTAAAGTGACACAGTAAGTTTAAGTTTGTCTTGCTTTCTGAGGACTGTTTAAGAGGCCAGGGGGCAGAGGGAGGCTGCTTCTCTGTTTCCAAATCCTTCCCAAAAGTGCACTAAGCAAAACACTCACATCAATGTTCCTGCTGTTTGGAGACCTAGTGGGGAAGCAGCAGATTTGCCAGTGGAGACAAAGGAACCAAGTCCCTCAGCTTTCTCACTTCCTTCCCTCCTTCATCACTTGCCTATGTGACCATGCAGCAGCAGGTCCGTGTTTGATTGGTGCTTCCCATTCACTTCCACTCTTGTTACCCTCTACATCCTTCAGTTTAAATCCAGTCAAGCTTTGGCCTTACCGGTTCCATCCCTGCATGCCCAGGCAATAACTCCATTATTTCCCTAACAGGGCTTGGAAGTATAACTGCTCTAAGAAGCCTAAAGCAAGGCCACTTCTTCTCCACTGTATCCTCTACTGTTAAGAGTCTTAATTCAAATTTCAACATTTAATAAAGATATGCTGAAAACAAGTTTTAATTACACAATATCTGCGTTGCAGCATTCCAGAGTAACCACACATATTAGAGTATTTCAACATACTGATAGACAATTATATCTTGCCATAAAAATACATTTTGTTACTTACTAGGTTGGTTGCTTCCTTAATATGCCCATATATTTTTAGAGTAACAGTTGCATCATAAGAGGACTTCAGACTTACTATACAGAAATGTGAAAACTGCTGTGAATTTAAGTGATATATATACATCTATATAATATATATACATACATATATATAGTCTTACCAACAGTAGTCCAATAGATGTGGGGGCAGAACAGGAATGTAAACATGCTGCCAGAACATCGGGTAGAGCATAGCTGCAGACCCATGAATGCAGGCAGTTAACTGAAAAACACATATTAAAACAGGATCATAAATAAGACAAAAACCAAGCTTAGAAAGGCAAAGTTAGAAGAAAAATCAGTAAAAAAATCAACTCTGCTTTCATACTAACATGCTTTATTGAAAATATACAGCACGCTTAATAAAGGGGTATTGGTGGGTGAAGCATGACTGGTTTATGGTGGCTGTCACTGGACTGACTCTGTAAACAGCTGAGAACATGATTCATTCAACAACCAAGACCTGAAAAGAACACCCAGCGTTCTCTAAAGCAACAGAAACATGGAAATGAAAACACAAAGGGGACTAAAAATACTAAAGGCAAATGCCCCCAATCCTGGTAGTAACCATCCATTAAATAACATAAAACTGCATTGAGATCATTACAGAACTGTAAAAATGTGGCATGTGTTTTTTAAGAACGAATCATACCAAACCCAGAGATTAACGTGCTATTGTTTAAAAGGGATTTTCATCTAATTGCCCTTCACCAAATCACTTGATCCACTGAATATCTCAAGTATATTGTTAAAAACTCATTCAGAACAGTTCTGATGCTGGCAGGTACTGAATGAAAAAGATCACAAATAGCAACCACAAGTCTACCAGTTAAGCCGTGGGGAGAATCCTTGCAGAGCACTGGAGGAAATTACATCTCTCAATCCTATTTCAAGCTGTAATTAATAATTTGGAAAAGAAGCTAAGCAGGATATTTGTTACACTAAGGATATTACAACGGAGAAGGTGGTAATCCTCAATAAGGATCTCTCAGCAAAAGCTACAGTCAAAATTCTATACAAAGAGGGTATGAACACACACACTTGGGAAAAGAGAAAATAAATAAATAAGTAAAAACACTCATACAAATAGACACATACAAGGAAAGAATAAGAGGTGACAGGCAATCACATCCACCCTGACAGTGTGTTGCAGTTTAGAGTGTCTTTTAATCTCAAATGATACCCAGCCCAAGCAGTGCTATGTGTTTTGCTTGTGAGACACATTCTGAAAACAATACTCAGCAAAAGGCTATCAGTTATTTGAAGGTAGGATGAAATCAAGCATGTAATGCTTGGCTGGACTGGAGAAAGCAGGGAGAACACTGCTTACAAATACCAAAAAGACAAATTCTAACGGACTGAGGTCCTGCGGCAGCCTGAAGTTGTGTGAGACGAAAGACAACAGAAAGACAAATCGTGACATTAATTCTCATTCAGTTAGATGTGGTGTAACCTTAAAAAACCAGAAGAGCCTCATTATTATTGATTTCCATTAAGACAGACCAGTGAGTTATATACCCTATCATAGGACCCCACGATTGGTAAGAAAGTGATCTAGATGAGCTAACACAGTCTCTTCAGGGAAAATCAGCAACAGTCCTGGACACAATTTGGCTTATGTTCAAGGCCAAAGCCTTTATGTAATTCCAGTGCAGTTTCTGTAAGTAACAGAACCTGGTTTTCAGATTAAAATGCAGGTCATTAGACAAGAAGAGGGAAGACAGGCACGTATTATATCTATAATAATACATAATATTTAAGCCTCTGAACAATACAAATCTGGATAAGCAATGAGAATGCACCGAACTCCCCAGATTTTTTGGGGGAGGATTACTGAGCTCCTCTGCAGCATGATCAGAACTATGGTGAGATACAGCAAGTATCTGAACAAGTACCTGTTCAGTCTTTCTCAATAAGAAAGGCCTTTATTAGCAGGTGAACATTATTTTATGGTCCATAGGGAATGGAAATTTTAATATGTTAGGAAACTAATTAAAACAAAAGTTAGAAGCTAAGAAATCCTGAATTTATTCTGTATTTTTGACTCATGAAAGTCTAAAGATTTATCCCTATCCCATTATATTTCAAGTTAGCATTATATTATTCCTACTGGAGCAGATGTTCCTCTCTTGCAGATTAGATGAAAGCCAGAGCCTAGCTCCAAATACGCAGCAGAAAAAAGGGCCTGCTTTCCCACTGTAGTTTTTTCCTCTATATTCCTAAATCATTTATGTTTGCTGTTTCTGTTCTCCAAATCAAAAAAAGATGGAAAAAATACCATTTGTAAATTTAATTCTTACTTTAAACTTGCTCTGCCGGGATCAAATGGATTATTTCCTGGCATTATTATCTAACATGGCTGCTGCTGTAGAGGACTGAACTCGCTAATCCAAGGAGGCCGCTTCCAAGCCCCCCTCCCATTGGTTTTAAAACTCAGCAAGAAAAGATTAAACAGACATAATGCTCAACACTGCAGACATCTGAGCAGAACCTGTCACTTATTTTTGAGATGTACTCCCACCTTGCTATCTGGCAGGAATTCAAATAACATACTACCATGGGTAAGCACCAGCACTGTCCTTCAACTCTGCCAAGATAAGGGCTCATAAAAAAGAAATAGCGTATTTGCTGGAGACCTCACCTGATTAGTGATTGCCATACAGAAACCAAGCACTTAATAATAAGGCAGCCTGAGAAATGCCCAACTGTCAAAACTATAGGAATCCAGCATTTGGAAATAAGATTAGTTCCACTGCCTCAGCTTCCTGCAGCTGTTGCTAGAGAATGTAAAAAGATAGCTATGCAAGAAAGACACTGATTCACTAATGCACGTTTTGTAGTTCTGTATTTAATACTCTAAAAGCCTTGTTTCAGCAAATGAAATCAATGGGATTTTGGCACACACATAAAAGTTATAAAATGATGTTGAACTACAACAGGCCTCTTTCCAGTGCACGTTTCTCTCTCCTGATGCACAGGTGCAGTACATGGCTACAGATGTGCAACATATACTAGTAAACATATACTACCTCTGGCGTGCTTGTAAGATAACTTCTCTGCATTACTTGGGGCTAAAAACAAAGTAGAAAGCTTAAGACTGAGCTATCCAACAATTAAGTCATGAAAGCAGGGCTGTTGTAAGGCTGTGTATGAAGGTCCAGACTTAACTGGCAAGTTTTAAGGACAGAGACAGAGCTCTTGGGAAGGAAGAGCTTGTACATTTGCAACAGTAGTTGTAAGGCTGTTGTAGAACAAGAACTGTGCGAGCTTGCTGCAGCAAGGCAGCAGGAGCAGATTCACATGGAAGAGGGAATACTGGACACAAGGAAAGCTTGTTTCATTTTTGCAACAGCATGCTCCCACCAGCAGGTGCTCCTTTGCAAAGCACTTTTAGGCATTTGGGTTCGGATCTGGCTTTCTTGAGTAGATCACAGGAAACACAAAGAAATTTAACATAAATAATTGCTTTAACGGCCTGAGAAATTATCTGAGATTCCCTCTGGAGGAAAAAAAGATAAAAAAATGCAAGAAAAGAGCAATAATTCTTACACAGGTTCAGTACATGTGGTCTATAAAATAGGTGACAAACACAGCCTCATTCAGTTACCACTACATCTCATTCAATTTAACTACATTAAGGAGATTCCAAATTTGATATGATGTATTATAGCACAGAATTTATTCTATTATGACAGACTTTCTTATCCAGGACTATTTCATTATCTTTCTTACCTGATACTAAATTCAAGCCTTAAGTACGAAGTGTGCCGTGTTATCTCCAAGTTAACTGGAATTAACCACAAAGAGGTCCCTTCCACTTTTTAGTTATAAACCTATAAACAAAGAACCCAATCTCCCTCAGCACCACCCCACCCTCACTTTACTTTGAGAATTCTCAGCTTGGTACGTTTCCAGTTACAAGGTCTTGGCTTCCACTGAGCACAGTTTGAAATAAAATAATGCAGCTTGTTCCTACTGCTGGAACATGCAGAGCAGAGCGCGCAGGGAAGGAATCGCTGGCTCCGGCCCAACACTTCAAACCTGTCTTACACTGTCACTCCAATCTTGGAGCAGTTTATATATAAAGTTGTAAGATAAGAACACACAGTATGAATACCCCTCCCTACCGAAGAACCCGACATGCTTTTATCTTGGACAGAGGCAAAAGGAAGAGAAATAGCACAAAGATAGGGAGGAAAACACAACCCTACTTGTGAAATGGCTCATTAAGGAAGGCAAAGTGACAGGTAAGTAATTCTTCTTCCCAGGCTCTGTCACAAAGGGAGAGATTAAACCAACCAACCACACCAATTCTGAAATGCTTTGGATGGCCGTTCTCTTCTTTCCCCCTCTCTGATAATTTACTCTTCTTTTCATTCTTTAGGTTTCTGAAATAAACATTTCCCTTTCGCCTTTTAGTCCATTACCAGGAGTGGATGTATTTTCCCTTACTTTAGTAGGGAGGACACAGAACACCTGGTAGATAGAAAAGTTGAGATTTTATGAGTTTTCTGCACTATTAAACTTTGTAATACTTACATTCTTTCAGTTAAATGTGGGATTGATTGTAAACTGCTAACAATTATTAACAGGTCCCTTAGATTATTCTGACTCTCCTGGCTTCACTTACCTTTCAAAGCAATGTTGTAATAGTTATTCTGAGATTAAGTGGAAGTCCTACTCTCTTTCATTTCTCTGCCCTGTACTAACAGATCATCCATACATGATTTTACGTATATAATTTCAGACTTCCATTGTAATTAGAATTCCATGAAGCAGTTTTAGTCTCAAAATAAAGTCGGTTATGGTCATGCAGTAAGAGACTAGTTAAATCCATACAAAATGGAAATGAAAGCTTGTATTTTAGAAAGGACCACTCAAGTACTTAGTCCGTAGCACTAGAAAGCAAAATTAGTTAAACCATCTTATACTCCTCATTCATAAAGGAAAGCAATCAATAGCCATTTACAGAGCAAACAGAATGAAAACTGAACCTTTTCTTTTATAAAGTAAATCACAATCTTATTGACGGATAAACCTTGAAATGCATAACACAAAACTTTGAACTGAATCAAGCTGCGTGCTTGTTTTGATGTCCAGCCATTTTCAGAGGAGAGGACTCTAGAGTATTCAGCAGCTTTCATCTCTCAGACACTTGATGGAGCCTAAGTAGCATTAAGGATACACCTTATCAGACAAAACTGCAAAAATGTGAATTGCCAATGTATTTTAGCCCATCCAGAGAAGGTCACTGGAACATCCAGTTGACAGTATCATGATTTATCCATTTTTTTCCTGACAAGTGAATTATGACAAAGGGACTTCACTTCAGCATAAATGTTTGTATATTTCTTAATAAACACCCCAAGAATTCCTGCATCCGAAAGACCATTTTTCATTTGATCACTAGATGCTATCAGAGGTTATGTAAAATCATCACACCGCATCACAGAATTGAGTTGAGGTTGCATAGCTGAGGCTGGAAGGGGGACCTGGAGATCACCAGATCGTGTCTTGTATATGACTGTCATTATAAAGAAACACTGTGAATAGAAGAAATTATTCTGCATTTTACTTACAGTGCTCAGCTTACTACAACAAATGAGGATGCGGCGTTCATACAGCATACTGGCATAGAGGTGCAGCATGTTGTTGACATCAACTGCTACAAAATACTCTGTCAGATTTCTCTGGGAAGAGAAAGAATAATTTTTGATTCATTTTACAAAGTGAATTTTTACAAAAATTCAAAAAACAAGAGTCCTTCACAAAAAAAAGAACCCCACCAGACTTCGTCCTCCTATTATGCAACACCCACTATGTGGCTTAACACAAGCAAGCAGTATGTCACCTTATGTCAGAGTACTTTTTAACTGCAGTATCCTTCCCCTAACTTTTGGGGAGCTAGGTCCCAGCATAATAAAATGGATGATGCTTCACATACAGCTTCTTAATAGATAAGACACTTCTCTAAGAAAAAACATGTTCTGTCACTTCTATGGCAACTTTAAAGTTGACTGATTAAGTACCAAAAAAACCCCATTTCACATCACAACAATAAACCCAGCTCCCTGAAGAGGACAATTCTAATATGATAAATGCAAATGTAAGCTCAGTCTATGCTACAGCGATGCTGATGACTGGAAATAAATAGGGGCATTTAAGAGGCAATTTACAAACAGTTACAGAGGTTGTCTGAGCTCCTGACCTCATGCACCCAGACACCGGTTTCCCCTTGGAAGACAAGAAAGCACTTCCTTGGGGCTGGGGAAATGAGGAAGGAGATAAAATTCACAGATGCCCATCTCTGGTGAAGAGGCAGGATTCAAACACCGAATTTTACTTCAGTCATCAGTAGGTTTATATAGGATAAAGAAAATTAACAGCAGTAGAAGAATATTGTAAGCAAAGCACATCTGCAATCTGCCCTTAAAGAACAGAAAGATCAAGACACAAACAGGTAACAGTGCCAAAATGTTAGATATACACTGCCTAGAGACAACACAGGTTCCTTCCATGGTTTTGCTGCTCCGAATATTTAAAAGCACCAATGTAAAAAATACTGTAAATAACTGAAATTCAGGAAATGAAACCGAGCAAACTGCACAAGAGCCAGTTCATTCCCCACATCACCCCATCAGCCAACAACATCATCTATTCCTCACTACCAATGTAACTGCCCTGTGCACATGCTGCAGGGTTATGAATAATCTATCATTTACTAAATATTTAAGCTGTTTTCTAATAAACAGCAGAATGTGCTCCTAAGATCTTTATTAACAAAACTAGAAAGCCACAATGTAGGTAACTTGATCAAAATGTACTACAAAAAAAAGGAGGTTTGTGCGTAGAGGATATTTTCACGTCTTAAAACAGAGAATTAAAGAAACAAACAAGGGGAGGTGGTGGAGGACAAGGTAAATGTCCAAAATGCTGAAACAAGGAATTCATTAATTCATTTCCAAATAGCTTCTTACAGATATGGAAGGGCTGCTGTATGCTAAAGACAGTATTATACAAAAAGCACATGGGAGAGCAAAATTAGATTAGTCATGAATTCAAGTGCAATCTTAATCATCGTTAAATAAAAAAGTGCAGAAAAGCAAAAAGCAAATATGATTTAGAAACTTAAAGAAGCTCAACAAAGCCTATTAGCACTTTTGACAGATCCAAAGATAACTCTAAAACCACCAATACTTGGCCTGAGAAGTCTGCCAAGACGCTTCATACTGTGCAAAAATATGTTCCACAGCTTGCCATCCAAACACAAAGAACTAAAGAAAAATTAAGCATTGTATTTGGAAGACTTTTGTAGCACTGTGTAGATAGAGAAAAACTAAGCTCATTGTGGTTAGCTTCAAACATGTTAATATGAAGCAATCAGTCAGGTCTTTGTTACTGGAAAGCTGGAGCCACAGACAGGTATATTCAAAGAAAGGGGGGGCGGAAATTAGAAGCCAACATATTTTGCCAAAAACCTATTAAACTATCATGTACTTTTTCTGTATTTCTCATCCCATCTGTGCTGATTAGCATGATATTTTTGTCTAAACATAAGCTGTCTTCTCTATGGCTCTTCTTCCCCCTCTCACCCATCTTTCCACGACGCCAAAACACTGGTGCATGACGACACAATCACTGCAAACAGTGTGAATTAGAAGTATTTGTATAGCACAAGCACCCTTTGGTGCCAATCAGATCAGAGGCATGGCAAAGGAGCACATAATCCCCACGTTCTGCCTGGAGATGTAGATGTGTGTGTGCATGGACTGGTTGTAAGGCAACGGTATCCACTAGTGAGAGGAAAACAGACCCAGGGACGTCGTTTGCAATTATTCTTTCATCAAGTTTAGTCTGGTGAAATACTGGCTTTGACACAGAGATGTACCTTCAGATGGAAAGATTTGTAAGGATTGAGTCTTCTCTGCTCTCAGAAAGTTGCCAGTGACACCTGTGAAGCATGTGGGCTGTATGGTAATGTATTGATACTGAGGAAATTCACGTGTTAGCTCGGAGTTTTATTTATAAGAAAGCTGTCATCTTTGAAGACGGAATTGGGACTTACACATGTATTTTGAAAGATACGTCTCGTAAGTGACAAAACCATGAATGAGTTAAATAAATACAAATGAAAGCATTCCAATTTGCAGTATAATTGTTGTGTATTTTGTTTCCCAGGATTTAAGCTGTTCCTGGGGGAGTAAAAGTGTGATTTTCAAGATAAAATTGGGTACAGGTATCCCCCACTCCTCCCAAAACTCACTGAGAGTGCTACAAAATTCCCTCACACTCTTTTAAAAGTTCATTCCTAGATCAATCATCTATTTGATCATCTGCTAATACCAGTAAACACACATGCACACTGACTTTTGAGACAGGAAAAAATCTCATGCACTTTTCTTCCTCCATCATCTAATGAAGAATTTCTCACTGAAAGAACAAGCCAATGAGCCCTCTCTGCAAAGAGTGAAGCCCAAACATGAATTATAGCTCACTTATTTTAGTCTGCTCTCCAACAGCTTCATGTAGAAGACTTCAGCAAATTCCCTCTTAGACCAAGTCAACAGAATTGAGTCAGATTTCCTTCTCTATTCTCCTTTGGAAATCTCTCATCTTACTTAGAAGCTTGTGTTCTTTCAAAAATCACATAATCAAAATCTAGCACGAGGTAGGTGATCTGGTGTGCAGCTAACACTTCTATAATGCCATGACGTTGTTTCGGAGAACAAAGTAATGACAATACACTTTATCAAATGGTGTAAATACAGAAATAAAAGGGAAAGGGCTTAAGAAAAACAGGTAGCAAAAGACGTGCTATAATAGACAAGTGAAAAATCAGGCATTTTGAAATATAGGACTCAGTGATACAAAAATACACCAGAACATCACACCAAGAACATGTCGCCATTTCAGACTGGTAACTTGCCTGGTATCTGAAACACTACAGATACTACCAGGGAAGTTACAGTCTTGCACTGTATTTCCTGCACTGCACCCACATTTATTTCTGAAGTCACAAAACATTTACAAATCTTTCATGTAATTTAAATCTTTAGGAAAAGTCAATGCTTAGCTGCTACATGAAAGTGTCCATGCTAAATGCTTTTGTGACTCATTAAACATATTGATCTGACATGAAGTCAGATAATAAAGTTTGTTAACATTCCAAATAGACTTCTGTGCAGCTCTCCATTAATCATCACATACAGCTTCAAAGTTTGGCACTACTAAAACTTTTGCTAATACGGGTTTTAAATGTAATTACTGATAAGATATGTAGAATTTTGAATAAATGAGGCCAACTGATTAAAATCCATGAAGATTCATGCTCATTTAATGTCCTTGTATTATTCCCTAATATGCTCCAATTCTACATGAAAGTTGCATTAACAGGCAGATAAAATACACATAAGAAATTACACATAACTCATCAGGAAAAACATAAGCACGCAAAATGCCTGAAACATAGATCAATGGATCTGATTTTCAATACCTTTCTTTCTTACAATGAGACCTAGCTTTTTAACTTTAGGTATATGTGTGTGTACATGTATATAAGTACAGGGGCACATATATTTGTTAACTGAAATGTTTTTCCCCTTCTGTTCCCAGAGGTGCCCTGGTTCACCCCCAGACACTGTTGAGTGCACCCTTGGCAGTGACATGGCTGCAGAGGATACCCAGGAAACAGTCACAGCCCCTATGAGGCACATCAGCACCACTCAATGGTTCAAAGAGGATGCTTTTTAGCATCACATGGCACTCCCTCCCACCCGTGAAGGCTGAGCGTTCAGCTTTCAAAGGGTTTCCAACTCCTTCTGGCCCAAGGCCTCTGCTTTTATAACAGCCTTTGATTCATGAACATTCATCATGTCTCCTGCTCAAATGTTTTGGGAAGCTGACTCATACCTTCAAATATAAAGGGAGCATCACCAGCAGATATAACCAACAGAGCATAAATACAGCTATACTTCCTGAAGCCTTTACTACGTACTGTGTTATTAAGCTGTTCCATATCAGTTAAAGCAGGACCAAGGCAGACAATCTACTTTTAATCCCTGCCACTGGTTTCTTGCCATTACTAGCTCATTACTCAATGCCTTCCAATTCACCAGCCCATAAAATGGAAATAAGCTGCCTTCTTTGCTCTCCAGGTGATTTGAGGCTTATCAAATAAAAACTGCTAAAGTTTGAGCAGATTAGCATAAAAGAGATGAGCATAAAATATAAACCCTATAAACAAGTAACTTCATGTGTGGATTAGGACAGGATTTGACTCTTGAATTACTCCTAATGCATCATATTTCTACAAAATTAAGTACCTGAGAAGAAAGAGCACATCTATTAAATTTGCTGACAGGATACATGTCAGTATGAAAGTCTACAACACAAAAAAAAGCTAGCAACAATGTTACAACACAGAAACAAAAAGCCCCAAATGTAATCTGATATACAAATCATCTACAAATGAGACGAAATCTCTTGATCATTCCCTTTTCTTCCTTTCTTTCATGCCATGAACCGAGGTTTACAGTGCTAAGGCAGACAGCAAAATATTTGAGAAAGGAAACAGAGATAACCGGCATAAAAATTTGGCTGAGAGACAGAGCAGGAGCATAGTAAAGAGTATTTAAGAGCAGAAAATGCCGCATTGTCTTCCCACAGACCTATCATTTGGCTAGAAATCTGAGGCACGCTGAAACCTGCAAGTTCACTACAACATCTAGCAGTATTTTACAGAATATTATCTATTACTAGGCCAAAGAGAGGTAACAAATGTTATCTCTTTTGCTGCTGACATTAAACAGAAAAGGCAAAGTGCAAGGTCCTCTGGAATACTCACATTTTCAGGTATACTGGGAAGCTCTCTGGTGTCAGGCACAGTAAAGTAAGAGTGCTAAAAAGAAGAGCAAATATTTATTATTGCAATATTGTCAAAAGCAATCTAAATGTATTGCTTGGTACTAGTAAGAGCAGTAATAGCAGTTGCTCAGCTAAGTAAAAACGACAGAACATTTGTTACCAACTACCAGTATAACTTCTTTGTCATGGGTTTCAAAGCTCAATTCTCAGATCACACATGCAATACGAAATGCATTAGGACAGAAAGTATCAAATGCTCCTGAAAAGTCGTAGTACATTTTTTTGTTCTTCAGAGACACCAATACAGACTCACACAATGTTTGACATATGATAAGGAAACTCCAAGGCAGTCTATAATTCAAGACATCTTTTCCACATCTTGCATGATGGACTACAGGAAACATCAGCACACAGGTCCCTTTCTGACTTCCAGCATCCCTAAATTTCATTCAAGAAAATGGTGAAGTTACGGAAATTTGCTGAAAAATTCTTCCTAATTTTTAACTTTTATGCCCACTGACCTGGAAAATATTATTAAAGTTCTACATCACTTTTATATGCCTCAAAAAACACATTTTGAAAGACCACATCTCATAATCCATGATACTGCTACCTTTTTTAACTGTCTGCATTCCAAAAGACCAGGTTCACTCTAGTTCCCAATGACCATGCATGACCTGCACGATCCTTGGTTAGGTCTTTGAGAAAGGAAGAGAGAAAATACAACCCAATCGCTTTTGTAAACCAGCATTGTATACAATTTAGATTATTTTTAAGGGTTTCATAATCTGTCTTAGGGCTACTGATTAATTCCTTGCTGAAGCTTCGAAGGTGGTTTATTCCTGGCATAGTTCCACAACTGGCACAATTTTCTTGTGGAGATATATGTATGTGTGTATATATATATATCTCAGACATTTCAGTGCTTTATGAACAGTCTATAACCCAAAATAGCAAGGGGCTATAACAGCCACACTGAATATAGACACTAAATGTATAAACACAATTTTTCGCTTTTTGATCTAGCACTGTTTCAGTTTAGTTCAAAAGATGCAATGCAAAGATACAGGAACACTATCTAGAACTATATCACATATAGGAACCTCACCCTGACCCCAAAGCAGGCTTGTAAACAGTCAAAAGAAAATGTGTAAAGACACCCCAGTGAACAGCCCCTTGGCTGCTTCTTTTATATCCTTTCTTGCTTCATCACCCATGAAATGTCTGAGACAAGGGGAGACCAGCAGCATTCCTTGAAACCACTGGTATGAAAAACCTGAAATATCCCAACTGATCATTGCCTTTTGAGACAGCTCGCCCCCTAAACAGAAATGCTGTTCGGAAAAGAGCTTGCCTCCAGAGGACTGGGACACTGCTGCTGCCAGCTGGTGACCTACTGAGGCCAAACAACTGCTACCTGTCGACTGACATTACAGGGCGAAGTGATGAGAGTAAGCTGCTTGTTGCCAAAAAGTACTTTAGAAGGAGTAAAGGAAATGAGAGGGAGAACTGTGGCTGCACACACCACTGGTTTCCATGTGAACTCTAAATGACTAATTGGCAACTGCAGTAATGTGCATCTCAAGTAGTTTTTCACTACTGGCTGGAACACAAAGTTGTTCTGCAAAAATTAATATGAAGACAAAAAACCCAAAAGACTAAATTCCAAATACAGTCATGTCAATAAAAGCCCACATTTCTATTCTTTCGGTCTTCTTTAATTTTCCTAGAAGATATAAGTATTAAGTAAGTCCTTTTTTTGTGGGTGTGGGTGGTTTTTTTTCTTTGGGGGAGGAAAAGGAATCAAAAGATGTGCTAAACAGCTAATACTCGAAATGCTGCTAGGACAGGTAGGTGACTGTTTGCTTTCCAGCTTTGTCCCCCTTGCAAACCTGCAAGATCTAGGAGCTCTGCAGAAGTGTGGGCAATAAATGTCATGTTGCTGCTCCGTGACCTCTTGCAGGTCACAGACGATAGGGTGAGAAATTTCCACGGGGAATATACACAATCTTCTTCCAATCAAAGAACAGCATTTCAAAGATATTTGAGGTTAAGGAAAGGGAAACAGAGGGCCCCAAATGTGAAAAGTGGAATTTCACAGCTCTGTGTCCTCACAGGAAAACAACATCTGTGTACCAAGTTCCAAAAAGGAGAATTGCTTTTGACATTCCTCTATTGTGATACGTAATGAAAAGTGAACACCTCACTTTATGTCTCTCCCACTCCACTTACCACTCCAAGATGAACAGAGGTTCCTGGCTCAGGGATGGCAAGTTTATGAAACGTTTCTAGGAGTTCACTCCTTTGACTATCCTGAAATAAGAAGAAGGAAAAAAAAAAAAGAATAAGAAGAATACTAAGTAGCCATAGCTGTAACAAGCAGAACTCCAAGACAGAAGGGCAACATTTGTGGAACTGGGGGCTTAGAGAACTTGCAAATATAAAGAAAAATGTGGAATAGATTTATACCTTAGACTATGAAGTTTCCTCTGAAAGCTGTTTTACAACATGATTTTTTATGAATACTACTTTTCTCAGATGTATTTCTACATATTTCTGCAACACAGAGTCACAACCTATGCACTACATAGTTACTAAGCTCAGAGCAAGCCAGTTTTTACCACAACGTCTTTGTAACATCTCACTGGCTCTAGGGTAAAGCCAAATGCATATAATCCATTTGGATGAAGATGTGATCCTAAGTGCTTCTACCTTAAACGTGAATGATTCTGACAAATGCAAAATACAATTATTACCACAAACTGGTAATAAATCAAAGCACCAACCTAACTGGGAAGATTATACCTGTAATACTTTAAATACATGAAACCAGGCTAGGTGCTGCAATCATATATGTGATTTCTCTGTATCATGAATTATGATTTATAAACCTACAAGCAAATTTTAATGGCTTAGTTCAAACTGCAATATGGGAATTGCATGGATGTGCTGAATACAGTTCAGGTATGTGCAGTATGGGTGACTGCAGAAAAACCACTAAATTGGGCTGGATCCACAGTCACAGTCTTGGACTTCACCTTTTCCCCAAAATAATTTATTTGCAAAGGCACTTGCCCAGCTTTCAGCTTGGCTGAATATGACCTTCTGTGTAACTGCATCGTACAGATTAGTAATTCCCATGGTCATCTCCGATACAAGCACTTCTTAAACCGGCTTGTTTTTATCCTCTCTCCCTCATTCGATACTGAAGCAGGGAAAAGAAGGATTAGTGCGTTACCTGTCCTTTTGCTGAATAATCTGCCAAGACATTGAGCAGCTTATAGAAGACTTCAAACCATGGGAGGTAACTAAAAAGAAAACAGAAAGCAAAAACCTAAATTTAATTTGCAAAATCTCAGTTATTAAATCCAACATTGCTGGCCTTTATGATATAGATGCATCCTACCAACACCCTTCACTGAACATGGCGCTTCACAAATACCTCTTAGGAAAGCCACATGAGACCTTCCATTTGAAGGACACTGCCAAAGGTTGTGGCAACCCTTTCCTTTGAGGACTGAGATTCAGTGCTTCCTCCTTCCCAGTGGAAGCAAGGAGCTCACCCTCCTCCTCATCCCCATATAACAAACATACAACCCAAAGGAAGTTTGCAGCCTGCAAGGTAAATGCAAACTGATGTTCATGTATGGTGGAACATTTTTAATCATAGTGGTTTCCCAAAGTCTATGTGGAATAGCTCTGTACAGCCCAGCAAACCACAGACACACAGTTATAAATCTGATACAACTCAATCTTTTAAACTGCATAACCAGTATCTCAGCTTTTAACTGCTGTCAAATGCTATTTCATCACTGTGCTTAGCCCAGCCCTTAGGTCAAACAGAAACTTTACCCTTAGTAAATTTGCACTCATCTTACACAAGAAAGAGAGAAACAAAATTAAGACAAACACACAGAAATATCACATTCATTCCATAAAATAAGATAGAGAGCTAAGATGCTGCTTTTCACTACAGTCTGCTTTGGTATGATTTTGTGCCTTATTTTCACAGCATGGTTCTTTATTTCAATTCCTGTTAAATACCAGAGGAATCTCCCCTCAGCTGTAGCAAATAGCAACGCAGGTTTGTATGACGCACAAACAGATTCTTCTTTTAATCACAGATGCTTTCTGAAGCAAATGGGTTCTATTTTGATATAGTTAGACAGAATTTAAAGCTTTTATAAAATATGACTACATCCTGACAACTGTAAAGAATTAAGTGCCCCATGGTTCCTAACTGTACAGCTTTTAGTAATAAATGAAGTGAGAAGCTATATATGAGACAGATAAAGTGAATGGCACTCCATCATTAACATTTGTTTGAAGGCTGCAAATGCTACTGTAAAATGTAAGTAGCTTATCAAAATATACTGATAAGCAACTTAACTTTTCATGTTATACGACAGTATTATCATTTAAATTAATACACTCTAAGCATCTTTACAAACTATGTATTAGAATAGAGCAGACAGACAATTACCACTTTAAACAGCATTTAAGTTTGGCATTATATTGTAAACAATCAAGAAGGATTACTTAGAAGATAAGTTTCTTTCTCTCTGTTTTGTTAAATAAACTTCAGCAGAGTTAAAAGCCATTACAAGGGTAACAAGAAATCCTCTCAAAACCTATCTGCTAAGTAGAGATTAAGAACCTGGTAAACAAATCCCTGCAAGGCAGCTATCAAAGGAGTTTGAAAAGACAGAAAACCAAGAAAGCTCCCTGATGTTATGAAACCAAACCTTGCTTCAGGAAGGCATATTTAAAGTTCTACTTAATTGCTCAGGGACCTTCCTGGAAAACTACATTGATGGAATTACAATAAGAATCTTCTAAAATATTACTCTGCTTATAATGTATGTGTATAATGTACTGTAACAGCAACAAAAAAATGTGAGCTACCGCAGTGTCCGCTTTGCCAGAGCTGCACTGTGTTTGAAGCCTTAACCCAGACCACGTCCCCAGCACCGCTGGCAACACGTGGTGCCTGTACCCAATGGGACAATGCCTGTTCTGAACCCAAGGTCGGGTTCTTTCTTCAAAGATTTACTCCCCTGTATTGGTGGGACCTGTTTGTTCACATCCAAACCTCACCTCACTACAGACTGGAGCACACCAAACGTGACAAATCTGCACGTTCTATCCCCACGAATACTCCATCCACATCCAATTTTAATTCTTTAGCTCAGCACCTAGAAAATAGCTTCTATGACTCTCATCAAGCCTCATATTCACACAACATCAAAGCATCAGCAAACCCTCCATGCACCAGAAGGGAAGGCAGAGCCCTATTTCTCTACACTCCTTGTTGGCTTTCCCATTTCTCTTCAGTGTCGTATCTTGCATTGAACTTCACTATTATGCTTTGTTTAACACTAACTCCGCCTTCTTTTCATCAGTGTTTTCCAAGTAATGATTTCGCATCACAGCATAAGCACTTCTTTTTCTCATTTTAAGAACACCTTTCCATTTTGAGGAGGGATGTCTTCTGTGTTGAAGTGAAGAGGTTAGTGGGCATTTGGAGACCTCAGCACAGAACAATACACAGGAAGCCATGTAGCTCTTGCTTGAGGGAGGTGCAAGACAAGATAAAACAAATCAACCCAACACAATATTGTGTAAATTGTGTAGATGATCTCGCGGCAATTTTCACCTCCCTCCTTCACAGAATTCAGGATCTCTCTCACCCTGAAACCCCTGGATACATTAGAAAACTTCAGCACTTTTACTTCATCACTTATTCCATGTGTTTACTACTCAGAGTGAAACAATCCTGCTTTTATTAGACCAAACTGTGACCAGTTTCAGTTGCCCCTCTCCCAAACATTAAAATCAGGAAATACAGTTACCTGCATGTTCCTAAATCTCTGTCAAAAGGAAAAAAAGAGACATGGATGTTGTCTTACAAAAAGCAAATCCTTGAGGCAGGCTCTAAACACCCCTCCAAAGAAATGGAGGTTGAATTTATAACCAAAAACTTTCTGTACCACATGCAACTTAAGTAGCACAACTAGTAGCACTACTGAAGATTTATGGCTTATGACTTGCTCATATTTAATTTGTAACCAAACACTTCCCCTTCCTCTTAGCTACCTTAGAACTTTTGATTAACTCTTGTTTTCACAGGTCATAGGTTAAACAAAGGAAGGGAAGCGCTCTGGAGTGAGACTGCCCAGAGCACCATGGCACGGGAGCACATGCACCCGCGCACACACATCCCCCTTCCAGCAACATCAAAAAGCGATAGACTGGAGATTCTTCAAGGGAGTTGAAGTTCAAAGACTCCAATGAGCATAAATCAGCTTGTGGTTGAAGAGTAAACAAAAATAAAACGGCCATCTGAAATGTTCATTTTGCTAAATTACACCTGTTTTCAGTTTCCTTGCACACACACACATGCACACACAGTGACATATTTGCCACAAATCATGCGAATCAAATCAAAGCCTAATCAAATTAGGCCTCTGCAAGCTGAGAGACCCACTTGGGGCTCTGCTGCTCTCTCCCTCTGAGCCTCCAGTGTGCAGTGCAGCCTCAGCGCTGGAGAGAGGCCAGTCCGATGGGAAGCAAGTACGAGCACAGGAAAACTGCTTATTATGCTCCATAAGGTCTGCACAAACTCTACAGCACAAGTTGCACAGTACCTTATTCAGTAACTCATATGTCATCACCTTTTTAGTGCACTCCTTGAAAGTACAAAACATCATTAGTTACATGTGTCACAGCAATTAGGGTCAGTCAAAACGTTAAGACAACAGCACTGTATTGCAGCTTGTAAATACAAATGGTTCCAAAATGTGGTGTTTAAAGAGCAGTGGTGCAAACCCAACCACCGGGAGGCCAGCCTGAGACAACAGGGAAGATGTAAAAACGAGCACATTAGCATGATAACAAACCCCTGCATAGGGTGTTTGCAGTTATGAGGAGGTTCACCTTCACTGGAGTAGACTTACAACAAGTAGAGCTTTTGTACCTGGACTGCAGAGGGAGATGCAGGGATGGGGGAAGAGGAGGGACGCAGCCAGCCAGTGCTGCGGAAGGAACAACTCGCCAACCAGCACTGTGCTCACAAGCCTGACCTATACTTCAAAAGTTACACTCACCAGAAAATGTCATCACCCAATACTGGCTGCTCCACAGATGAAGCTGCTGCACTGAGTCAATTCAGCTTTGTGTTTTTCAACAGATTAATCCACTCGTGCGCTTCAACATGTGAAAGATAAAAAACAACCCCATCACAGCAACACATGTGAGGTCAGGTTTTCTGACCTCCAGAAAGCACTGCAACCAACAGAGGGCATTAAGCTAGTGCTTTGGAAATAAAGCAACTGTGCTTCTATGCACATACGTACACACATAAACCATGCATGTATACATGTGTGCATATTGCCACTACCCAGCAAGAAGGATGCAGTTAAGAGATGAGCCAACAGAACTCCCTTTGGTGATACCAAGTTGCCAACAGCAATGAGATCAGACACACAACTTCAGTACAGGGTTTTGGCTGCTGCCCTATGTAAAATGAATCAAACTCAGTAGTTATTGGACTTGAAACTGAACAAACTTATGAGAGCTGCTGGTTTATCTCCATCAGAATATAGATTGTCTTCCAACAGACACATCAGCCCAAAGAATGATAACTCCATTAGAGAGACTGTCTATATGCAAAGGCTAATTTAATCAAATGGAATTGCCCAAGAGTAACTAAGAAAATGCAAGATCTTTCAGAACAGCAAAGTGGAAATGTGTAAGCAACATATCTACACTGGCATCCAGCTGATTTCTTTATCAAGCAAAAGATGCCTTCCTCAGGAAAAGCAGCTGTTTCTCATCTACTTCTGAAGCATTACTAATGAACAGAGGGTTTGATAATAAATAGACTTTCTTTGAAATGTGAAAATTTCACCATTATCATTTCTTTTGATATCTTTTGAGCGCTCATTAGCATGAAGGAGAGTTATAAGTTACAACATGCACTACTAAATCACTGCAGCTATCTCACAAATGCCATGTACATCCAAGGACAAAGGTAAAGAGAGGCTGGGCAAACATTGTATGGAACTAGGAATTGTTGTTAGAAAAGTACATCTCCAATGAAGTCAATGTACAAAGAGACAGATTTTCCAGTGTTGATTGTTACAGACAACAAATGAAGGAGAAAGCAAGAACGTTGTGAAAGCTGAACTCATCTAAATAAACTCCCATGGAGCAGTGAAGAGTTTAAAAGTGTAGTGAGAACTTCAGCAGCAAAACCCCTCCATATTCCAGCGTGGCAGCAGCAAAGCCCAGTGGCAACAGGTACCTT